GTGTGGGTCTGGGTGTGGGTCTGGGTGGGTAGGTGTGGGTGTGGGTGAGGGTGTAATATTTATATCATATTCGCAACTACTCTCACATCAAAACCCAAACCCAAACCCACACCCATCGCGAGCGCCATACTTTTATAATGTTATAACTATCGGTCATAACCGTTACAAGATTTATTTTATGTAACAGTTTAAATACTTCTTAATGAAACATAAAGACAAAATTTGATTTTATTTTATTTGAGGAAAATTTTATATATATATATACATCAATTCTATAGCAGTTAAACAGTCTAAATAAGGTTTGACTAAAGACGAATGATAAATTAGTGTTGAAAGACAATAACTAACTATAAAAAAACAAAATAATTAAATATTCTTCTTTTTGATCAACGATCCTCGAGGTACTTGATTTTTTTTCTTTTTCTTTTTTCCAGTAATGGTATAACAGATGGAATTGAATCTGATGTTAAATTGTCTGTTGTATCAGCCGATTCATCTGTATGATTAAATGAAGTATCAGCATTATTAGATATAACTATAGTAGATGTTTTCAGTTTCTGTTGGATTATGGAACAAGAACTAGAATTTGTCAGATGACGAATATAATTTGATATCTAAAATAACAAAATAAATGTTTATATGTCATCAAGAAATATCTTTAGAGCAATCGGAAGTATTAGTTTATCTTTTAGTTTGAAAAATAAATATATTACTTTGATCTTTATAAGGTGTTTATATAAAACATTAATTCTATAATCTATACAGCTTATAGAATATTCCACAGCTTTGTACGTATATTTGTTAAAATTGACTACTCATTCTTAAAGTAATAACAATTAATTAGGACTAGAAAATATTGACAAAAAAATTCCCTTAAGTATTTAGCACATGTTTCGTCTATAACTTAAAAGTTTATGCTTCAATACTATTCGTTATAAAAATCAACATATGAACACTTGGTAAATCATCCATCTCTATTTTTTTCGTACAATAATCTATATCTCTTGAAAACTAGTGACTTACAATATAAGTATTTTCTTTTCTACCTAATGTTGATGTTGCACCACATTCACATTTAATCAATACCTTGTTTAAATTAATGTCAATAATAATTTCATAATCAATATGTTCTTCGAGATGTAATACTGGTTGATTTCTATGTTCATTTTCGTTCAGTTTTTTGCACCAATCATTAACTGATTGTATTAGATATAGTTTTATTGGTTTTTCATTATTTAAATTAATATTCGATGATGAAGCAGAATGAATTGATGTATCAGAAGATCCGTTTGAAAGATTAGTAGAATTATTAGTTGTTACAATAGTAGAAGATGTTTTTGGTACTTTTTTTAACTGATTATATTTTTTTGTTAATAGTTTTTGTAAAATATTCATTTTCGTCTTGATTCCGGGTAGAGTAACGAACAAATTATCGTTTAACTTAACACATGTTTTCTTTTTTAAATCAAGTAAATCATTTGAATCGTATTGTACAACTTCTAATGGATCATTACAAGCTAATAAACAATGTACATTACTAATATCTTGAAATTTGAGAATGGATGATAAATTTTCACCAAAACATTTTTTCACAAAATTATAAAAGTCGTCATCTTCCAATTCCACAACATCATCAGATAGAATGAAATTTTTATTTAGTATTTTAAAGTAATTTATTAAAAAAATAAAAAATAGAAAAACGATACAGGAATGAATAACGTTCGTTGAAACGACTAAGATATAGATGAACAGAAACGAAAATAAATGACCATTTATCATTTAAATACGAGAACGTGCAAAACAAAACAGTAGACAATGAGTTCCTAGACGTCGAGGGTAAATGATGACCGAAGAATGTCTAGTCGCGTTTCACTCGTACGTAAAATTATTCATATTAAGCATCCCACGTGTTATTCTATAGAATGATGAATGTTAATGTAAAATGGACAGCGATTTCCTTATGAGAAAACGCTTCGAAGCTTATTGTTAGTTTATAATTTATTCAAGGCAAACTCATCAAGAATCGTCTTAGAAATTAATACTATAGCTTTTTTTCATTGAATGTTCACAAATTGGAGAATTCTATATTTCTATATAGGTATATAATATTAATGATTTCGTATGATTTCAAGTGATTTCTGCTCTCGAAATCAGTTTTTTCCCCCTTGAGTACACTTAACGACAGTACTTCTTACTTTAGAAATCCCAGAGCTTCCTAAGCTGCATCTCGTGGCATATTCTAACTTTCGAAAAAAAATATTAATTTCAGAAAGTTACCAATTTTTAAGAGGTGAAACGTATATATTCCACTGGAACTTAATGGGCTAATATATTAGTCATCTTGTTTAAACTGTACAAAACAAATATTTACAAAGAGATAATTTTACATCAGAAGATGAAATACAAACTAAACTAAATAATAAATGAGAAAAGATTTTTCTTCGCCTGTTATTTAGTCTAGTCTGTAATCTCTTCTAATTCTTTAAAAATTAAGAAAGAATGTAGACTATAACAATAAACAATAAGAGACGGATCAAACAACAAAAAACCGAAATTAGAAGTGCATATTCGAAGAAATTATATTGTTGCACATTTACTGTGTCCGAAGTAGTTTTCTCGCTTATTAAAGTAATTTATGCTGAAATATTAATTTTTGATCGTTACTCTTTTGGATCTTTACGTAAATTATATATTAAACAGTGATATTCAGTACATTTTGCAATGTCCTGACTTTTATTTAAATTCCTGATTTTTTTTCGATTTGTGTCCTGTCTATTTTCCTGATTTTGCACCATAGGCCGCTGCGAGGCCTGGATCTAAATTGAAATTTTGCAATACCTATCAAAAGATTGTAATGAGAAATCATATATTTATTAGTAGTTAAGGGTGAGTGTGGGTGAGTCAATAACTTGAGTAAAGATGCACATCTGCATCCCTCACACAATGAAAAAACATGAAAACATCTCTCTTGCCAAAAAAATACAGTGAGGATTTGTATTTTTAGAAAAAAAAGAATTAACACACTATGTGGTTTCTTTTCCATTTTTGTAAAAAATCAGAACGAAAAAACTGATCAACATTAGTGAAATCAAAGGTAAACAGCAGAACGAGCATTATTAATTCAGAAATCAATAACAATTGGCTATCTACACTGATATTTTATGAACAAAAATCTTATTCTCCATGTACAATGCATGTGGATTGTATCATCAGTAATTCTCCAGATGATTTATTTTCTATTCATTACATTTTATCTTTCATAAGGGCCCAAACAAATTTTGCTACAAGTCACAAAATAAAATAGACAGAATCGAAAAGGATTAATTATAAGATGTACGAAATTTTCGATATATCATCAAACACCAAAACTCATACGCTCTGTCATGTATTCACAGAACTACAATTAAACAAATATTGTTGTTACCATAGATTTATTTCGAAAATTTGATCTCATCAAAGACAATATAACCACTATGATTAGTATCAATAGAATCAAATTCATTTCGTAATTGGTATGTATTCGAACTATCCAGATCGAGTAGTTCATAACCTTTTCTTGAGGATGGGTAGGTGTGGGTGTTATATTTATCTCTTATATCCACACCCACACCCACACCCTTAAGAGTCTAGGCTAATTCCCTCTTCACTTTCAATCTTATATGACAATTTATCATAGACAACTTGAAGGTATACGTAAATAGAAGATCAGTATTTATATAAAACATAAATGCATATATATATATATGTATGGTTTTGTTAAAATAAAGTTAAAAAATAATAAAAAAAAAACGTTTGTTTCACTATTTGTCATTGCGAATCGTTCACTCATTTTTATCAAAATCTAGTTAAAAATAAAATAATATGAATAATGAGGATTTAATTGATCAAAATATTTACAATTTGTGATCTTTGTCGTCTGCGAGCCATACACAAACTGAAAAGCGACTAAGTTTGTCATTGATTTTACAAACAAAATCATTGAGATTTCTGTTTCTTAAACGATGTGTATTTTTTATTAGCCATTCACTTGTTATTTCAATGGGATTTTTTCTATCAATGAAACGTGAATCAACATAAAAGACACCGCTAACCATACTTCTAAATTCATCGATTAAAACTGGTATTTGAGTTTTTGAATTAACATTAGCAATTAATCGTTCCACACATGGAAAATATTGAGACCAAGGAAAACAATCATCATCGTAAGGTTCTTCATATGCAGGTAATGTTAATGTTTTAATTTGTTCAAGTGAAATATCTGGAATATTCTCAACATCAAGATTAGGATGAGGATCACTTAAACAAAGATCATTAACAGATGGGATTTCTTCTTTAATAAATAGTAAAGTTTTCCCGAATGTCCATTGAGATTCTTCTTTTATAACTAATGATTTTACTTTTGATAGACCAATAACATCCTTATCAATATTTAAAGTTGAAAGAGAAATTTTTTCAATATTATTATAACGATGAAGTGCTTGTCGATGATCTGAATCAAATTCTAACTCAATAACACGATCATAACAAGTAATATGTTGTTTAATGGATAATGTTGTATATTTTGATGATATTGAATTAGATGAATATTTCGTTGAAGTTCGAAAAAAATAAGGTACTGTATAAAGAGATGAGTAATTCTCATTTGTAGCAACAAACCAACATTTTTCCATCCAAAATGGTTGACGATATTTATCAAGTACATTTTCATCAATATTAACATCCGAAAATTTAAAATTAAATGTTGTTAATCGTGATAGATTATTAACAATAAATATTTTCCATCGATCTGCATCATAACATTCAGGTTTCATATGACAATAAATGAACAATTCGAATTTTTGTAAGCATGTAAATGGAGTAAGAAATCCTTCGAGATGAGCACGTGCTATTGTTATTGGAATGACTAGAAAGAAAAATAAGTATTTTTTTTCATCTATTTTATTTTATTTCAATATTTACCATCTTCTCCAATAGTTAATGATAAATATTTGAGAGGAATTATTTTCGATTGTTTTTGATGAAAATTAATGAGTCTAGCCATTTGTTTTTTATCTGCAAACGTAAATGTAACATTCAATGATATCAGATGTATAGCTCGATGAAATATTTCTTGAAGTTTTTTACAGGAACAAGTTGATAATGTTAAGTAACGTATATGTTCAAAGTGAATTGTAGTTATTATTGGATCAACATTATAATTAAAATAAGATTTACTATGTTCTTTTATAATCAATCGTTGTAATGATGGACTAGGTTTAATAAATGGTAGTTTATCTCTTAGAATAATTTCAAGACTAATAAGATGTTTAAGTTTATATAAATCTGAAAAGTATGATGCACCTTCATCAGCTATTTCAATAGATTTAAATGCTCGTAATCGTGTAAATTGTTCAATTGAAACTCTAGATCGAAATAATTCAGATTGATTTGGTGTATGATTATCATTCGATAAAATTAATGAAGTAACTTGATTTGGTTGAATTTTTTGATAAATAAGATCAAAATGAGATTTACGAATTGATTGACCATTGATTTTATAATTCTGATAATTGAATAGAATACTATCGATATAATCATTGATATTAAGAAATGAATGTAATATTTCATGAGCCCAAAAATAATCGAAAATGATATGATAAATTTCACATGGAAGTTTATTAAGAAACGAAGACATAATTATCTAGAAAATAAATATATATGATAAAAAAATGAAGTTTTAGACATGTGATATAACGAAATAAATGATGCAGCTTTTTATAACGCGAAGAACAACAAGCGTGGATTATTTGTAAGCGAATAGATATGACATTCATTTGTTTATTTATTACATATATATCACATGGTATTTTCCTTCTTTCTTTCCTTTCGCTTATTCGTTTCTTCCTGTGCACATTACATATATCCAGATTTTTTCATTCCTGTTCGTCACATAAACTTTCTATGAATAAAGGAGAGACATGAAGAGACATACTCCTTAAGACTCTATCATCATTCCTATCATTTGATTGTACATTTATGGTAATAAGAATTCAAAGTAAAATGGATTATTTGTTTGAATAAATTCTAATCGTTTTAGATAGCGAACATATTCCTCTTCGAGATATTTCTTATCATAAAATTTCGTAAATATTTCATAAATATCACAAATTTCGAAAAAGTATCTATGATGAACACTGCTAAGAGTTCATCGAAAAAAACATCAATCTTAGAAGAAATTTTCGAGAACGAAGGCATTGGATAGTTTTCCTCAACATATTTGTATAGTTTGTTAGAACGTTCTGTTGTTTTTATTGGTTCTGCTTATTAATTGAATAATTATAGATGATAGACGGCTTGTCCGCAAGTAACGCACTCACGTTTTGGCAACTTTCCATTCCATTTTTCTCCGAAACAGTTAAACTTAGAGTAGCAAAATTCTGTGGATAGATGCACATTAATTATGTGTTTAATGCCTAAAAGTTTCACCTCAATGGACTAGACAGTGAATGTTTTACAAGAAAAATACATGCCAGAAACGCACTCACCGAAAAGGCCCTCTTTTTTTCGGTGATGTCAGAAATGGTGAATTGCCCATAAATGCTTAGGCTATAAAGAGATACGGCCGAGAGCAAATTTGTAGAGGAGAGTCACAGCTATCTACTGGGAAAAGGCGTTTTCAAAAATATTGTGTTGTTTAAGAGTTGTAATAAAAATACTGCAGTAACGCACTCACTTTGGTTTTCGAGACTTTTTGAAACCAATATTTTTGCAACCTTGACAACAATAAAAGGCAATCTGCTGATGCCAAATTGTAGTTTGAGATTGAATATTACTATTAATATATCCATTTTTGTCAGAGATAAAATAGTGTTCCAAATATGATAACAGACAAAAATGGGTTTTCAGGCTTTTTTTACACAAAAATACCTCACTTTGGTTGGCAGCTACCACTTCGTCGCGTAGTTTTCAACAAAAAAACTAGACAGATCGATGCAGAATATTTAAAAACCTACTTCAAAACTTTAACTGAATGTGATGAGCCGTTTTCTGCCTGAGATTTTTAGTGCTCGGCTTCAATCATATGCTGGTTGACCTTTAGTCGGACAAGCCGATAACGATAACGCTTTTGTTTTTCAGCAGATGTTAAAGCCATTATATTGTAAATAATACAGTAAATATGAAAAAATACTTTGAACAATAAATAACGATTTAATTTCTTAAAAAATCTAAAATTCAGTAATATGAATATATGATGATCGCGTGAGTGCGCTACCGTTTTCTCCCCACCTTGAAGAGATAAGCTATAGCAAATAGGATCTTTAGATAGCCCATTGAAAGTTAACAACATTATATAAGTTTCAATTAAAATACTCGAATTGTTCATGTGCTATAAAAACTACAAGCATGTTTTGGTAACACACTCACTCTTAGAATTTATTGAACTCGTAAAGCTCTATATTTTCTACCATCAATACTGTAGTAAATATTATTCATAACAAGTGCTGACCCAAACCTTAAAGATCGAAAACATATAGCACATTTTAATCTATACCTTTTCTCAAGTTAATTTTTTACATTTTTTTGCAATGAGATAAAATATGTGACGATATTTATATCAAAAAGGTGTCACTATTGTCCGACCATTAATTTTTTGATTTTTGGTACTTGAAAATAAAATAAAATACATTTTCATATACACAAAAGTGTTCTCTACAAAATGGCATAAACCATTTTTTAAAATTATCGGCTCTTATTTTAATCACCTAGGGTGACCGTTACGCGGACAAGCCGATATATAAATAATAATTGACGAGACAATAATTTTATACACTTTAATCGTGTTTAAAATAGAAAGTAAAACTATAGATACTATTAGTCAGTTTCACGTATCTCCTCCTCATTTAAGATCTTTTCAAAGCGTTCATTTTTCCATGTATCAGTTGATATAAACCAAATATTTTCAAAAGCATAACGTATAGGACCATTTGAACCCATCATCTTTGCTTTGAGTACATCGCGAAAAGCATAACCAATTTGAGTGACATCATTTCCAAATGCACCTGTACCAATTGGTCCAAGTAGAAGATAAGTATTTGATCCATCACCTTTAGTATTAGCAACAGCTGCAGCTATAAATGCACGAAACTTAGCCAGATTATTTGTTATCCACTAAAATAAATAAAAAGCAAGAATTTTCTCAAACGAGTGTATCAAAATGCTCCTAATATGATAATCTCATGTTTTTACCTGTTGAGTCGATTTTGGATTATCATAAAGTTGAGGTGAAGCAGATAAACAATAACATGCAGAAACTAACATATCAGCTTTACGAACTTCACCAGTTTTTTTATCAACAAATCGTATATCGCATACATATGCTAATCCAAATTCAGGTATTGCATATCCACCACCCATACGTCCATATTTTAGATCAAGTAATGATCGATAACCATCAGAATTGTAAAGAATAATTTCCTCTTGTGCCCCTAATAAAATGAAATTTTTTGTCTCAATCATTTATATAGAATAAAAACTATACTTACGTGCATGTCGTAAATATCCACCTCCAGGAGATCGTTCATTCTAAAAGATTTTAATATTATCAAAAACAAAATTTGAGAAAAAAAGGTAATTTACAGCGAAATTAAGAACAATCAATTGAGCATCTTTAGGTGCATCAAAAACTGCTTTTTCAATGCCTTTATTCACGTAGGTTATTTTGCCAGCATGAGTTCTTTTTGATACAGGATATTCATACAAAGCTTGTATAGCATCTGCATCGGATGGATCATGTAGAAGTAAATTATTATCACCTATTTGATCATTTTTCATTTTAATATCTATTTTAGATACTGCTTCGCATTGATTGTCATTTGTATCATTTGAATGTTCATCTGTGATGTCCATTTTTTCCACTAATTTTTCAATTTCTCCATCTTGTACTTCAGCTTTGCATTGATTGTTTATTGTTTCATCTTCTACTATTGATTGTTTATTCTTCACTCCAAGTTTTCTTTCAACTTCATTTGATTTTTTATCTTTTGATTCATCTGCTAGTACATTTTCTTTATTTTTATCTTCATCATTTGGACTGTTGTTTACTTCGAGTTTTGTTTTATCACTTTCTTCCGTTTGTTTACTATTTATTTCATGTTTTGGACAAAGATCCTCCAACTGTTGTGCATTCCAATATACTTTCAAGTCTTTCGGATCCCAACCATGACTACGAAAACGAGCCATATATTTACGGGATTGCATAACATCAGGATGTAACTAAATAAATATTGATAATATAGTAATAATGGATAACCTTCACGCAAACATCTATGCGTCACATTCTCTCTTGCAAAAGCAACTTACTCCTTTGAATGTTAACTCATAGTAAGGCTCAACAGTTTCAGCATTAAACATTAGTGCAAGTTCATTATTATATTTTTTTGCCGTATCTTCATATTTTGTTTGAAGTTCGTCCCATTTAAGATGTTTTTCTGCGAGCCATTGACGAACTTCTCTAGCATGTTGAATAATTTTTTCATCAAATTTATTGTTTGAACCAGTATGTTTTTCGATTTGATTCAATTTATTATTTATTGCAAGTAGAAAAGCAAGTAGAGTACGTCTACTATTATCCCAATTGTTACTCTTAGCTTGTGGAATAGTTGAAACAAGTGAATTTATAACTTCTTTCGTTAAAGATTGCAATGGTACATAAACAGATAATGGATCAGGCATAGGTCTATATTTAATATTGCGTTGAATTGATACCGATAAATACGATTGCTTATCAGATTGCGCATTGTTTAAATGATTCGGATTTCGAGACTCACCTATCGATATATTGAAAAAAGGTCTCTCTCGTTGTCTAAAAACACGGCAAAATGGTGTACACATATATTTGGCTTTTGTTAAATTTTAAAACCAGTCAATTAATTGTTAGCAAAATGTTTTATTATAATAATTGTCAAGCTTTTTAATACAGTACTTTGAAAATTTTTTTCCATGCTTCATTACCGCATTATTATTTTATTTTCATAATAACTGTAAAATAATAGGTTTTAATACATAATTAATACGAAATTGAGAGAATTCAATAAAATATATAGTTTTGTATGCTAGTTCTTATATTGGAAACCAGAGCTTTCGAC